GTTCTACTCTGGCCTCGAGGGCCACTAAGGGTTGGAATGGACTCCGTGGCCCTGGGTTTGGTGTTTGATTTGGAGATTGGAAGCCTTCAGGAACCCGCACTGTTTTCACTCAGCCCATTGCACAGCGTACAACGTGCCAGTGACGCCTCAGCAGATAACGGAAGAAGGAAAGAGAAATGTTATAGGTATTCTGCAAGAATACCCCGTTCTCCCATCATTGCCGCTACTCCTCCAAGCAGAGGGGGGGGTCTAAGCTCTTCCCCCTGGACCCTAGACCAACCAGAGGATGAGCACTAGTGATCTGTCTAGCTCTTACAGGGCCTGGCCACCTTTGTCTTTCTGTCTTGAGAGGAACCAACTGTCACTGGAGGAGAGAGGGTGACACTGAGACTGGCAGCCAGCGCCGGCGACCTGGAGGCCCCTTGTGTACTGACTCATGCCTGACTCACAGAACCGCAGGTGCTGCTTTGGGGCCGTTTGTGCTGCAGCACGCATCACCGAGACACTGGGCTCTGCCTTCACATCCCAGGGACTTCTCGTTTCTCTCCATCTCTAAGAGGTCAAGCTGTTTGGTGAAGATCAGCCCAGAAGTCCGGTTCCTGTGTTCCTGCAGCAAAGCAACTGTTAACCTTTGGTTACCCTTGGGCATCCACCCAAGGAGCCAACAGCATGATGTCAGCACCCGTGTGACTTGCTGTGTTGCACGCATGGCCAGCTGAAATGGGGGTGTCTTTATTTGTCCAGTTTTCTTCAGCTTCGTTAGGGCAGGGATTTGTCTTGATCCTCAGTGATTGCCTAGCTGCCTGGCATGCAGTAGATGCTCAATAAATTTCTGCTGAATGAATTGAATGAATCATCCTTTGTTTCACTGTTCCCACCCAATAATCCCATTCACCAGCTCGGTCTTCCCTGAACAACCCATATAGAATAGGTTCTCCCTCCACACCCCTTGTATTTTTTGTCCCTGCACCCCGCACCCTCCCCCAAACCTCAAATATACTTTGTCCACCTGAGCCCCTCTCTGCCTGGCACTGCATGCTTCTTGGATTTAGACATAATAGCAATGGCTTGGGTCCAATGACAATGCCATATTTTGTATTCAAACAAGACGAGGCATCTAGAAAATATGCACATATGTTCAATCAATGTGGCATCCCTTTTCTTCCTTCCTTTCTTTCTTTCTCTCTCTCTCTTTCTTTCTGTTTTTGATAGTCTCTCTCAGGTCTCCAAGTGCATCCACTCAGTCTGACAATAGCTTTATGTCTACAGACATCGGAATGGTCTGAGAGTCAGATGAATTCCGATAAAATGAACATTTATTGCCATCTAGGCCATTTCTGTAACACGGTGTGCTGCACTATACTGGCCAGCTGGCATGTATTTTGCCCCTGTTTTTAAAAAAAAAAAGAAGAGAGAAAGAAAGTCTAGGTTTGAATTTCAGGCCAAGAAAATGCCTCCCTCCCCCACTTCCAACCCATTGCCTCCGGGACTCCTGAATTCCAGACAGAAGGATGACGTTGCTAATGGTGCAAACTTCAGGTCACAGACAGATCATTTTCACCTTTCATCTAGTTTTGTATCTTGAAGCCTCCTCTCAATTCATCTCCACCACCAGAACTTGTTTTTAAGAACACTCATTCTGTGGTATAACTGACCAATAACAATCTCAAACATGATCCCAGCTATCCGCAATGTTTGGTCTTGAATTTTAGCCGAACATTGGTGGTGCAAAAGGAAATGAGGCCAACAAGGTTTGAACTTGGGAGCAGGCAAACCTGATTCCGACCAGCAATCATACTGTTCAATCCAGCAAACATCTCAGCTTTGGTGGGGAGGAGTTTAGGATGGATGGAGGGAAGCAGGAACCAGAGAGGAGGTAATCTTATCACAAAATACAGGTGAGATAGGTAGTGATAGAATCGAGTCCCCCCTTGTAAGCCTGGTGAGTTGCTATCACATGGGATGCTTCACCTCCCTGCTCTGGGTAACACGCTCCTTGTGACCCCCGCTCTGCACTCCTAACAACCCCCCCCCCCCCCCACCCCCCACCCCCCGCTCATCTAGCAGCCCACAGCAGACTGATAACCTCTTCTTCCCAGGAGACTACTTGTCATGCCTCACAGCTCATGTTCCTTATGGATGCTAATAAAATGATAGACTTACGTTTCTGTTTCCGTTCTGCATAAAGAATGCACACACGATAGTTACTGAAAACAAGCAGCATCTTGCTGGTAGCCCAGCAGAAGTCAGTATTGTCAACCTGAACTCCCTGCTCAAAGCTGGTGCCTTTGAAAGCTTTCAGTCAGTCCAGAGACAAGGAGCCATTGTTTTCTGCAGCACCTTGTAGTACCACTTAGAGGAGCAATTTCACAGATGTGTAATTCCAAAAAGCAGAGATGTATATTCCCCCAAAACTCACTGTCATCCAATCAATCGATTCTGACTCATACTGATCCTATAGGACCGGGTAGAACTGCTCCTGTGCGTTTCCGAGATTATAACTCTACAAGAATAGAAAGTTCTGTCTTTCTCTGAGACGTGGCTGGTGGTCTCAAACTGCTGACCTTGCTGTTAGCAGCTCAACGCATAATCGTTATATCACCAATACACTCTGTAGATGTATAATAATTGATCACAAACCCTCCTGTTAATCAGTTTGTGAGACTATAGAGGATAGGGAATGCATCTGTTCATTCTCACTGGTATGTATTACAATGTCAATAGATGTTGTAGAGATGGTCCGCCCACCACAGATGGGTGGATTTGGGACTCTTTTGTGTTACTAAGTAGTCCTACTAGGATGCTGTTAACTATATTTTCAATTTCCATCCTGTTACTCCACCCTTTTTAGGATGATAAGGAAGCCCACCCATTCTCAGAATGCTGTTTTGCCACAACTCCTTGTCACCATCAACAGTCATCTCAACATTTCTAACTCAGGGAAGCTAAAACTAACTAGAAACCAGAGTCTACCTTCCACTAGTGGACACCGGTGCCCACCCCATCATGCCTCCTAAGCCCCATCTAGCTCAGACACTGTGCGGTCCCTGAAACATTCATCGCCTGAAACATTCGCCACTGGCTCTGTATGTCTCATAGACTGATACAGATATATTTTTTTGTCCCTTCACCAACTTGTTGAGTGAGTTGATGAATGAATAAATGGACAGCCTTCGGAGGGATTAAGAAATGGGATGTAAGTAGGTAAATAAATGGGTAGTGGCCCAGGTAAAGAGGGTTCTCTAAGTCAGCTCAAGGATGTGATATGATTGCAGGAGCAGAGGAAGCAGCAATGATGATCAAACAGTGGTTAGGGGACTGAGAGATGCTGAGTAGCAATGCTTGCAAGGATAAATCTTCTTGCTCTCCCTGGTCCAAACAGCAGACATGGCTGTTAAGCACTTGAAAGGCAGCTAGTGGACTCCGGAACTGAACAGAAATTTCATTTTAATTTTAACTAACTTGGAGGAAGCCCTGCTGGCCTGGTAGTTACGCACATGGCTGCTAACTGAATGGTTGGGAGGGCTTCATGGAAGAGGGATGTGGATCTCTGCGTCTGTAAGAGCTCTCCTGTGCCTTAGAGAACAGGAGCACCATGGTGGCGTGGTGGTTTCATGTTGGGCTGTTATCGGCAAGGTCAGCAGTTTGAAACCAGCAGTCAGGCTCCCTAGGAGAAAGATGAGGCTTTCTACTCCAGTAGAGAGTTACACTCTCAGAAATGCACAGGGGCAGTTCTATGCTGGCCTCCAGGGTTACTATGAATCAGAATGGAATGGATGACAGTAAGCTGTGCCCTACAAAGTATGTAGCAGAATCAACACTATGGTAGTTAGGGTCCATTTTAATTTACTTTGCATTTAGATAGCAACCTGTGGCTGGTGCAACTTCACCATCTAACAGCCTTCATCCTTCTTGTAACTTCAGGATGCCAGCACCTACCACACTGAGTGGCTTAGAAGACCAATGAAACAAAGTGGCCGGTCAAATGTGTGGTGCTCAGAAAACCACAGCTGCTATTATGGTATAGAGTAGCACCTTAAAGCAGTTCACATTACAGGCCTTTCAATTTGACTCTAGAGCATTGCAGACGTTATTTTATTTGGTTTTATCATGACCTTTTTGCTTGCGAGGGTTAGTGGATTACCAAATGTGTGGCTCTCTCTATAGTGAGCTCACAAACTAAAAATAGCAAACAACCATTTTGGGATCTCATTGAAGCCTTTCAGAGACAGATGACTATTCCAAGTGGATAGCTTGCTGATACTCTTAATGAGCTAATTAGTTTTGACAACAGCTAATTTAGCATCTGTAAAAATTGGATTTGTAAAATTACTGTATTGTTTTCAGGCAGTGGCATCTGCAACATTTTGAATGTTTCTGGGTAAGAACAGTGTTTGTTTCAATGCTGTTCAAATAAAACAGTAAGGATTGGAAACATTATCATGGTTTCTTTGAAAATCATCCCCTTCCCTCCCGTGGCTCATCACGCTTTGTTCCATATTTAATCCAGAAAATAATATGAACCAAGACATAGGGCATTAACAGGTCATTATAACTAACCCTCCCCAGAAAATCGCATCTAATATTACAGCTATGTCCAGAATATGCATATTGATTATTTTCAAGTCACAAAAATTTGCAACTCATCTCAGAGGTTGAAGTGCCATTCCACAGCCCCTGACCAAGGGCAAGGCCAAAGATTTGAAGGAGGAGGGCAGCTGTATTTAAATTCAAGCAAGCTGAAAGAAGTTGACACACTTATTAAGGAGACCAATTAATCTACATCAGCGGGAAGCCACTTTACTGCATTTGAAAAAATGCTCCAGGACATCATATAAATGTGTGATGCAAATCTACATTTTACAAGGGAACCTTCTCAAACTGGCCTGGTAGCTTTGCTGTTTGCAATGCACACCCTTCTCTGTGTTCTGTCGCAGCAGCGGGAAGAAGAAAAAGGTGAAGACCTTAAGGGCGAAGGCAAGGGCTTTGCAAGGACTTACCAATCGGCATCACCAAGAAAAAAGGCAGCCAGCAGAGGATGAAGCAGCCCACCACGATGCCCAGCGTCTTGGCCGCTTTCTTCTCCCGAGAGAACTTGAGGAGCCTCACGGAGAAGTGTGTCTTGTTCTTGGTGCTGGCGGCGCCGGGGCCCGAGGTGGGGGCATTTTTCCGATGGATGCGGAGGGTCACCTGCTCCGAGTCGGACTTGTCAGTCTTGAGGCCGGCCTTGAGGCCCCTACTCTCCCTCTTGGCCACCACGTAGACCCGGCAGTACATGACCAGGATGATGGCCAGCGGGACGTAAAAGGAGCCCAGCGCCGAGAACAGTACGTAGCCTGGCTCTTCCGTGATCTGGCAGATGGTCTCATCGTCAGGGGCCGGCTGCCTCCAGCCAAACAGGGGCCCTATGGAGATGACGAGGGAGAGCGCCCAGACGCAAAGCAGAGCCATGAGGCCCCTCCGCTGGGTCACGATGGTCGGGTAGCGCAGCGGGTAGCTCACACCGATGTAGCGGTCGATGGAGATGATGCAGAGGCCCATGATGGACGCGGTGCAGCACAGGACGTCCACCGCTGCCCAGATGTTGCAGAAGACCCGGCCGAAGGCCCAGTAGCCGAGGATCTCGAAGATAGCCGAGAAGGGCAGCACGGTGGACGTGAGCAGAAGGTCGGCCACGGCCAAGTTGACGATGTAGTAGTGAGTGACCGAGTGCAGATGCCGGTGGCAAGCCACAGAGAGGATCACTAGGATGTTTCCCAGCACCCCGAAAATGATCAGGCCCCCCAAGATCACCCCGAGAAGAATAGCCTTGGAAACGTTCACTGGACCCGGCGATTGAGTGCAGTTGGAGCTGTCGGAGGCGTTTCCGGAGAGAAACACCATGGTCCCGGCCGGCAGGGCGAGCGCGGGCCACCCCTGGGTGGGGGCGGGGGCGGGGGCGGAGGCCGAGGCCGGAGCGAGATAGCGGAGTTAAACGGTCTGGGCTCCGGGGAGTCGGGCCCGCGGTGTGTGCGTCGGGGGGAGCGGGAGCGAGCCGATGGGAAGCCACCCCAGCCGGCCCTGGAAACGCTCAGAAGGCAAAGCAAAAGGGCAGGGCTTTACCGATGGCATGGCCAGAGGCGAGCCGAGTTGACCGCACAGCCTCACCACCACCGGCCGGTGCGGAACCCCGGGGGCCCCCACACTCTTCCTTCCTCCCGGAGGGGCTGGGACGAAGCTCTGGGGGACGCGTTGTCAAGCAGCACTCCGGGAATTACCGGCGTCCGCCTTCCCGCGCGGGCGGCTCCGTCTCGGCGGGGAGAAGCTTCAGCATTCTGCGCCCAGTTTGGGATTCGAAACTCTCCGCGCAGTCTGTCCCCAAACCACAGGCGAGTCCAGGTCCACCGTGGACGCTCCGCGGCATCTGGGGCGCAGCTCCCCACCCGCAGTCACCAATAGTCTTCCTCTGTGCCCTCACGAAAAAGGAGGAAGAGTGGGCTCGTGGGAACTCCAAATTTTAGGTGCACGGGATACCAGCCATGGGGACGAAATATTGGTCACGTACGAGGAGGCTGCCGAGGGACCATCGTTGGCCTGATTCCTCCTGAAAAAGCCCAAAGAAAGGTTGCGCGTGAGCCAGAAAGAGTGGCCTTGCCCAACTCGTTGGGCGACCAGAACCGGGCTAGGAGCCCGCGGGCGGCTGCGGCGAAGAGCGCCTTTGCTGGGTTCTGGGTGGAGGTGACCTGCGACGGGAAAGCGCGCGGAACACCCAGTCCCTCCCGCGCCCGAGCCGCTGGAAACCTGCCTCCCCTCGCGGGCCCGCGGGCTCCGGCCTGGGAAGGAACCCGCTGGGGCAGCTGCTGCGCCCTGCGGCGGGACAACCCTTTCCGGCGCTGCGCAATTAAAAGAGCGAGAGCCGGAACGGTGCGGCTGCCCCGCCGAGCCGGTGGGATCTGCTGCATCTACCTTTGGAACAGGTTGTCTCCCAGTTACCTGGAGGGGGCGGCCTGGGAGATGAAGCCGCGGTGACCGTGGGACCGCAGGGACAGTGGCACGCTCACTCCCGAGACATTCACACCGGGGCTTTGCGTCGCGCGCCAGTCGCTTGGCGAGCCCAGCAGGATCCAGCCAAGTCCCCAGCAAAATCTCCCGGGTCGCTCCTACAAGACGCAGGGTGAGCAGCCCGCACCCACAGGGCTCTCTCCAGGCGAGTTGCCACACCCGAGCTGCCGAGGAGGGGGACGCGGGTGGCGGTGGGAAGTGACCGTCCATCCGCAGAGGGGGCTTGGCAAGTGGCAGTCCCTGCAGATCTTGTAGGTGTACAATCAAGCTGGCGCGCCACCAGGCTTCCGGGGCTGGGGCCCTGGTCTGGGTAACCCCACTGCATGTTCGCCACTGCCAATGGACCTGCAGGAATCCAGGGAACGGGGGCCGGGTTTGCCAGGCCTGAGGTCGGTTTAGAGTGCGGCTATCCTCCCCAGGGCCAAGGTTCCAAGATTCCAAACCACAAAACCTCTTAGATGGTCCCGAAAACTAACAACCAGAGAAATCTGTTTTCCCTGACTGCGGGGTGATAACTAAGGGGTTAAACACAAGCCACTTGTTAACTAGGAGATAACTTCAGAAGATGAGAACCAGATCGCAAAAAATAGAGAAAAGCTTGAGCGAAGCGGGGGAATCCGGCTCCTCTGGGGGCCTGGGGGAGGGCGAGGGTCGGCCCTCACCCACCCACCCTGCTTCCAGTGGGCACCCCGCGCCCCGCGCACTCACCTGGAAAGCCAGCCCACGCGGAGCCCGCAGCCTGCGTACCGCCCGGGGCACGCCGGGCTGCGGTTCCAGGAGCGCCGCCACCTCTTAGGGAAGCGGGGGTGGGGGGGTGGGGTGGGGGGGTGGGGATAGGTGACTGTCGCTTCCAAGATTCTAGCCGTAGCGTAGCTAATCCTTTTGCACCAAGAGTCTCACCTCTCCAGCAAGATGCCTTTAAGTCCCTGGCGTGCTATATCTATCACTTTACCCAGCCAATTTAAAGCAAAGAACCAAAGTGGGAAAAGGACGGTAAAAACACGGCCACCCAATAACTCCACAATCACCCTTTCAGTATTCAGCTCTCAGACACCAGCGAAGAACCTCCGCGAGGAACTTGGCAGCTCTCTCTGACGTAACGCAAGCAGTAGCCCCAGCTAGTACCGTAATCTCCCGGAGTTACCGTATTACTCGACCGCACCAGAGTCCAATGCCTAGCGACTGATATTTTTCTTTTTTCTCCTGCCCAGCGTAGGTTGAGTCATGGCTTTACTTGATTTTTTCTAAGTGAGATGTGGGCTTTTCTTTTGTAAATAAAAAAATGTAAGTGGCCTGCCTTTAAAAATAAAGAACAATTGACACCCTGGCCAAGCAGCTATTACTGTGTGTACGTGTATTCAAAGAACAGGCTGCTGCAGGTAAATTATTTTATTTGAAAATGTTTTAAGAAATATTTTTTATGCTTAGTGATTGTAACTCTTTTTTATTATTATAAGAAATCATTTTATTGGGGGCTCATTCAGCTCTTAAAACAATCCATATATCAATTGTATCAAACTCATTTGTACCTATGTTGCCAACATCATTTTCAAAACATATTCTTTCTGCTTGAGCCCTTGGTATCAGCTCCTCTTCTTTCCCTCCCTTCCCCCCCCCCACCCTTGTGGGCCCCTGAAAAATTTATAAATTACTATTATTATCATATCTTACACCATCTGCTGTCTCCCTTTGCCCACATTTCTGTTGTTCGTGCTTGGGGCGGTGGGTGAGGGGGGTTATATGTCAATTATTGTAGACAATTCCCCATTTTAAGAAGTAATGTAAGTCAACAAAATTCAATAAACCTGATCAAAATAAATTTATATTCCAGGAAAATTAAGTGATCATACTTAAGTCTTTTAAGATACAATCTGTTTTCCATTCAATTAAACAAATGCACTAAAGGTCATTATGTTTTCTTTGTAGTTTTAAAAAAATATGATACGATGTTTTAAAAATGATTTAGTGTTTTAGAGTGCCACATAATTATTTTTCTTATAAGGAAATTTATCCAAAGGAGTGATACGCCTCTTTAATTCTCTTCAGGTCAATAATAGTTGAAGTCTTAAAGCTGAGGCTTATTTGCATTTTTCTAGAAAATTCCATACCTAGTTTATCATTAACTAAAGAGATCTGCATTTCTGAATATTTGGGAAAATACATGATTGTTTTTACAATCTGATTTCTACCTTCCTAGTTGTCATCTTTTATTTCTATTTCTTTAGATAAAACACAATGTTTTTTTAATAAAACATTTTCTAGGTTTCCTTAAATATACTAATAAAGATAGGAGTTTGAACAGGTCCATACACTTAACTGCCCTTCCCCTAAGCAACATTTAAGGAGCCCTGCTGGTGCTGTGTCCTTCATTCTTCAAACCTACTGCCAGGTTGGGGGTTCAAACCCATCAACCACTCCCAGGGAGAAAGATGAGATTATCTTGTCTGGTAAAGATTTACAGCCTTGGAAACTCTATAGGGTCGCTACCAGCCAAGAGCAAATATTTTTTGATATTATTACTTCTTCCATGTGAGAAAATGTTTGGAAGAGCCTTTTATAGTAATAAACCTCAAAATGTCCCAAGGAATGCCAATGGGAGCCCAGGGAGCCAGTACTCAGGGACCTAATGCTTAAATGTCCTCCTTTGCTATGTACAACCCTCCTCCCTCCTTGCACATATGGTGGTAGTACCCACACTATCCCTCACATCTGATTTGACTTCAATGTCATGTTAAAAATATACATTTAAGCATACAAATGCCTTCTTCATCCATAAGTTGAACTTTATTATGTGTGAGGAAATAGGCAACCTGGGTTCTTCTAGGATTCGGTTTTCTCAGGTAGGGAATTCCCACCTGGGAATCTCACACCTTATCATCTAATATGTATATAATATTTGCTCTTCAATAATCCCCTCAGCTAGAGGAACATGGTATTGCTTAGCTTCATATTCATTAACTTTATGCCATGACTATTAGTTCTCCATTCAGACCTGTTCCCTGGTAGATATGGTAAGTGGTCTTATCAACAAGCAAAGCCACAGAAAATTGCTCAGCTCCACAAGGTTAAAATTCACAGAGGTCTTTGAAACTCCCTGGGCCCCTCTCACCCCCAAATAAAAAATACACACAAATCCTTCCAAGTGGTTTTTCAAAAAATTTCTTGTTTAATATCATTTTGATATCAGGTTGTTCATTGCCATAGAATCAGTTCCAATTCATGCCAACCGCATGCTTTCAGAGTAGCTCTGCTCCATAGGTTTTCAAGGCCAAAGTCTTGCTGAAGCAGATCACCAGGTCTACCTCCTGCAACACCCCTGGGCAGGTCCAAATCACCCTCTGCTAGTCATTGAGCACCTTTACATCTGCTTCTCTGCCTCTGAATATCCATCTTTGTAAAAGTAACTCACAAATAAATAACAGGTTCACAAGTAAGACTACCTATTGGGTACTTTTCTATGAATGATTGACATTGGTGTCCCCAAAGATGTCTGGGTCAGAGATGTGGGTACATGGAGGGAAGAATGCAGGTAATGAAGCCATGAAGATGCCATCCCTACCTCACAGGCCATCATGGCCAACTCAGGTTGCCTGAGTCTTGGGTTTTGTATTTTTAAGGGGATGAGAAAATCCCATGGAGCTGTTACAGGGACCAAATGAATTATAGCTCTTGAGAACATAGCTAATGATGTTGTGAGCCCTTTCCCTCTCTGCTCTTTTTCGACATACCACTTAAGATTGAGACACAATCTGACCCAACCAAAAAGCCAAACTCACTGCCGCTGAGTCAATGCTGACTCACAGCAACCCTACAGTACAGGGTAGAACTGCTCCGGCGAGTAT